AACTGTACACATTAACAGGGAAAATATGACATCTAAGCATCTTTATGATATTGAATCTTCTTGTCTAAGAACAAGGTATATCTTTCCATTTACTAAAGCTTACATTCCTTTATCAGTTTTCTGTGGCTGCTATAACAAATTACCATAGACCTGGTGACTCAAAATAACAGAAATTTATTTTCTCATAGTTTTAGAGGCTGTAAGTCTAAAATCAGTTTCACTGTAGCCAAAATCAAGGTAAAACAGAGCTGTGTTCCTTCTGCAAACTCTAAAAGACAATATTTTGATTGACTCGTCTAGCTTCTGGTAGTTGCCAGCATTCCATGTTTTATGACCCCTTCACTCTGATCTTTGCCTCCTCATCCATATTACCCCCACCTCTTCTGTGTGTCCAACCTCTGTCTCTCTCTTATAAAAATGTTCATGATTGGATTTACAGTCTAATGAGATAGTCTAGGATAATCTGTCAAGATCCTTAATTTAATCACATCTGCAAAAGCCCTTTTTTCTTATAAGACAACATTTACAGGTTCCAGGGATTAGAACCTGATCTCTGGATGCCTATATTTAGCCTAATGTAATTACTCCTATAGATTTTGGACATGTCTTTTTAAACTTATGATTAGATACTTTCATTATTTGTTATCAAAATATCATCTTTTAACTGGTTTATATTTGTATATTGATTTTTGTATGTTGATTTTATAACTTGCTACTTTACTAAATTAAATTCTCTTACTCCTTATAGTAGCTTTTCAAAGGATTCTTTTGTGTTGTCTAGATATCTATTTGTATCATCTATACATAAACATAGTTTAACCTTTTTCTTCCCAATTCTCATGCTTCCAGTTATTTTCCATTGTCTAATTACATTGACTAATACCTTCAACACGATGTTAAATAGTAATGGAGATATTAGTATCCTGATCTTATTCTATATTTATATATATATATATATATATATATATATATATATATATATATATATATAAAGATTTTATCTATTTACCCATGAATGACAGAGGTGGGAGGGCAGAGACACAGGCAGAGGGAGAAGCAGGCTCCATGCAGGAACCCAACGTGGAACTCGATCTCGGGTCTCCAGGATCACACCCTGGACTGAAGGCAGCGCTAAACCACTGAGCCACCTGGGCTGCCCTTATTCTGTCTTTATCAGGAAAGCTTCTAGTGTTTTTTATAGATAGGATCCAAGGCATATTTTTAATATGTATATTTTTTAATTTGAGGGATTTAACTTTATATTTTAAGATGAGAAATTTCAGCAGTTATCTTTAAAGAGCTTTTACTTATTTTTCTTTCAAGGGCTTTTAAGGAGTTTTTCAAGATCTAATTTATTTGGTTCTAAAGGGCAGATGTAGTATCTTAATTTCATAGTTAAGTAAATGTTGAGAGAAATTAAGTAATTCCCAAGGTTATGATGCTAGAAAGTGATACAGGCAGGACCAGGATCAAAAAAAATTTTTCACTGCTACATATTTATTTTACTTAATATTTTCCTCCAGGAAAACCTGGAGGAAGAACAATGCATTATATAGATTCAAGACACTGTGTTACAGACCTATGAGATAGATTCAGGACAATGCGTTACATACCTATGAAAATACATACATAAGCTATTTTCCTTTTTAAAATGTGAGTTTTAAAGGTTTACTATAGTAAGCGATTGGGAGTGTGTGCTTGTGTATTTTTAGAGAGTAAAATATATATAAGTAAGTGTCAAGTTCCCTTTAATGATCAACTTTAATCTCATTTCCTCTCCTCAGAGGCAATGTAGTATAAACTCTGAGGGTTGTGGGGTTTTTGTTTTTTGTTTTGTTTGTTTGTTTGTTTTGTAATGCTAGTGCCAAACTTAAGCTTTGATTGTAGAGGCATTCATTTCAAAGAGCTGTCCATGTCAAAGCTTAAACACGTTGCCAGCCACTTGCCTAGATAAAGAGCCGGGCCACCTCTCCCTACTGAGGCTCCTTTGTTTTGGAGATCTTATTAATTGATTTTGATAACTGACTTTTTGGCCAGGTGTTTTTTTCCTCTTCCTGAGCTTCAAATTCATGCTCTTATGTTTTAAATTCATCAATAAAGAGTGAACCCTAGGGCCCCCACATTTGACCCTAATAAAAGGAGAACTCTTGGCCCATATGCACTCTCTATCTCCCACCACCCTCTCTCTGTCACTGTCTCTGGCTCCTCTGCTTTCCGGGCGCCTGCGTGGGCTGGCTCTCTCTGTCTCTCTCTCTCTCTCTCTCTCTCTCTGTCTCCCTCTCTCTCCTCTCTGTTTTTCTTCCTCCATCTCCCTCCACCTCCCACTGTGTGGCCACAGGTGTGCTATGTAATTTCCAGGTCTTATAAATAATAAACCTTTATTTTTCAAAGTTTCCTGAGAGTTGTTGCTGAAGGGGGTCTTGCAATCATAATAAGAACCACATGGGGTCAGCCCAGTTGTAACATTGATTTGAAAAGGGGGAATATCTGTGGGTAGCTCACTCCAGGGCCCAGGTGAGTGCCACCAGGCATTTCTAGCCTTCGGCCTTACTAAGGGATAGGCAGAGACTGGCACAAAATAAGCAATAACCTACAAGGGTTAGGTATGTTAGCCTTCTAGTCCATTTTTACAATTCCACAATTCATAGACAAAATGCATGATAATGTGAAGGTGATTTTAAGAAAATTATTACAATAGTAATAATATATCAAAATCTACCTCCTTTTTTCGCCTATCATCATTGTATGGATCTTGATGTATGCAAGGCTTTTCTAAGCATAACAACATAAAATGCAGAATCTATTTTTAGAATCTAGCTCTCCAAACAAGTCTGGCATCTTTCCACTATCACTTTGCCTCATAGTTTAGTTCTCATTAAGAAATTTTTTAAATTAAAAAAATACTTTCAATTTTGCCTGGAGAGGGAGGATTTAGGTAGGAGTTATGCATTAGAGTTTGGTAAAATGGGACTTATTTTCTTGAATTAAGTCAATTTATATCCTTGATAGTGGCAAAATTATTTCAAAATGACATGTAATACAAAAGAACAGCAATTAAAATTAAAAACTATCTTAGGAGAGGGGAGTTGAGCAGAGTTTCAGAATATCTTATTCAAAAATCTTTTTTGCTTTTCCATGTTGGCTTCACCAACCACTCAGAAGCAGCAAAATACCAGTATAAGTAGAACTGCCATTTTGTTTTAAGAGTTAAATGTTGATGGTTTAGACCAGGAATTTGGCAAACTTTTTCTGTAAAGGGCCAGATAGTATTTTCAGCTTTGTACACCCTATGGTCTCTGTTGCAACTACTCAATTCTAATGTTACAACCCAAAGCAGTCATAAATAATACATGAACAAATGGGCAAGACTGGCTGGGTTCCAATAAAACTTTATTTACAAAACAACTAGGTGGGAAATAAAGGCAAAAGAAAAAAATTAAATTTCCTTACAACTTACAGCCCATTCACAAGTCCTTGAGACTGGCAGAGTGACTTCCCTCCAGGAACTCAATTCCCTTGATGTTGATAGTTTGCTAAGGGCAAAAGGCAATCTTAGCTTAACATTATCCCTGCCTCCTCTAAGTCTCCTTTAACATATAATAATAGTTCCTTTGGAAACTTACTCTCCCCCCCCCCCGCCCACCCGCCCTCCGCAAGATATATGTTAGCCATCATCCTTCATGTGTATGGCCCACTCATAATACATCTGAAGGGTCTCATGGCTAAGGTTTTACTAGATAGTAATAAATGATCTTTTCCTAACAATAGCTAGCCCCTTCAAAGTCCTGGAAACCTTCCTTCCAAATTCCTTAAAGACTTATACTATCCCTAACCCCCTTCCAACTTGACACTTTATAATCAGCCACCCCTCAAAATCCCAGTGGAGCAATTTGTGCCCATGGGTGCTGTCCCTGTGCTTTAATTAAACCACCTTTTGCACCAAATAGATCTCAAGAACTCTTTCTTGACTGTTTGCTCTGAACCCTAACATTTCCACATCAGATATGACCCACAGGCCATTGTTAGATCTGTTTTTTTGTTTGTTTGTTTGTTTGTTTTAAGATTTTATTTATTTATTCCTGAGAGACACACAGAGGCAGAGACACAGGCAAAGGGAGAAACAAGCTCCTTGTAGGGAGCCTGATGTGGGACTTGATCCCCAGATCCTGGGATCATATCTTGAGCCAAAGGCAGATGCTCAACCACTGAGCCACCCAGGCGTCCCCCATAGTTAGATCTTTGCTGGGTTGAAGGCAGTAGTATACTGGTAAATGATCAACAACTGGCTTTTTGGAGGGACTGGTAAGCCCAGATTTATAGCATTTGTCTATTCACATGACGTAAATACTCCCACCATAGTTGATTTCAGGGTATGTATTTGGTGTTACTGAACAGGGACATAGAAAGAGATAAAGAGTGGTACACTATTACATAGCATCTCTACCGTACATCTACACTAGATGTAAATAACTTCAAGACCATAGGTAATAGTAAAATGACAAAAGAATAAGAAGTGATGAATTTTGGATATTTGTTACCTTTATTTTGAATACAGTGTATTTTAATTGTAAATTAAAATTATTTTAAATAATGTCTATGTTTAACATTTGGCTCACAAAATTCCTTAAAAATTTAATGACTGGTTTTGGTGAGGCAGTATGAACCAATTCTAGCACACCACTGTGGTGAAGGATATAATAAAGAATTTTGTTTTAATAATCTGCCTACTGAATCATATGGAAGAGTAAAAGCAAAAAAAATACAGAGAATTGTGTTAACATGCAACTTTTGCACTAATCTTGTTCATCTGTTTTGTTAATCTGAAAAAAAAATTTTTTTTTACTTAAGTGGGAATCAACTGAGTCAAAGGCAAGGTACTTTCTTTTTTTAATCTTAACTTTTAAGTGATAGCATATGAAGTCAATTTAGGTCAGTAATTCTGTTAATATGTTATATATAATATTAAGTGTTATTTACTGTTTGATTTTTTTTTCCTTAAGGCATAACCGTGACGCCTGACGAAGAACAAAACTTAAATCATTATGTAGAAGTTTTACAGAACCTAATACTGAGTGTTCCTACGAAGGAGCCAGGTCATGAGAAAAAATCAAAGTCTCCAAATAATGTTTATTCTATAGGACCGAAGGTATCAAAATTAAAGGAGATAATCACACATGGAGACTCTTCAACTGAAAATGATGTTTTAATAAATCCTGCCGGTGAAGAAACCACAGCTTCCCCTACTGGAGGCTTCACACTGGAAGTAAGCAAGAGAAAACCTACCGAAGTTACAGCATTCTGGTCAATTAAACCAAATAATGTTTCTGTTGTTTTACGCACAGAGGAACCTTATATTATAAAAGAGCCAGAGCCAAAGCCAGAGCCAGAAACAAAACCAACTGAGGAACCAAAGCCATGGCCTGCTATTACCAAAGACTACATAAGTCCAGATGCCACCTCAGCCCATCCGTCTGTCACCTCTTTAAATAGGTACACTGACTTGGATACCATCACAGAACCAGAAGACGTTCCTCAGCTCTCAGGTGAATATGAAGTGAACAAGCCTGAGTTACAAACATTTGTAAGACAGCCACAGCTTTTGAGTAATGATGACATTTTGAAAAAAATTTCAGATATTAGGTCACAGGTACAACGGGTACCTCTTGCTGAAAGCCACAAGCCAGAATACAGAGAGGACATTCGAGCCTCTAGAGAGCATCTAAAACGAAGCCTTGCGTTAGCAGAAGCAGCAGAACATAAATTACAAAAAATGTACAGATCCCAGCTATTACCACTAGGACAAAGCAGTAGTGGAATTGAGGACATTGAAAGTTTTATTAACATGCTGTACAATTCCAGATCTAAATTACCTGAATATTTAGATATTAGATATGTTCCACCAGAGATGAGAGGAAAGGCAACTACAATATACAATACATTGAGAAAAATATTATGTGTAAGTCGACTAGAAACTCAAAACCTTATTAGGGAGTTATTAAACAATAATATAAAAATGTTAAACCTACTTGATATTCCATGACAAAGTTGATTTAAGGGAACTGTGCATTTGTTTCACTGGAGAAATAAACATATTAGTGATTTACAAGTTGGATGAAAATATTTTCTATCGTTCAATGTGCTAACATCTTTACATGTCATATATTATAAAAAATTTTCATATGCCCTAAAGCTGAATAATTTAAAATAAAATTTTGGTTCAGGAGTTTGTAGTTTTTTTTCTCATTAACTTTAATTAAAAGTTGTGAAGATCTAATCTTTAAAATGTTTAAGCTTTGATTTTACTTGGTTAGTTAAATTCACCCATTTTATAAGAGTTAAGAGACTGTGTGCAATCTGTATATAGACTGTTTTAAATAATTTAATATAAATATAAAATTTTAGTACATATGGTCTTTATTACTCTTCCAGAGAATCTGAGTTTTCTGCTTGAATAGCAAAGTTGGAACTTGAATCAGCACTTTTATTTGTATATCTGTCTGTCTCCTTTGAAAGGTGGATGATATATGAAGGTACATCCCTGTTTCTTTATTAAGTACTTTGGAGTATCAGTGAGTGACTGTAAATTGGATTTGAAATGTAGCCATTCTCACTCATTTCCTGTTGTTTGTTTCGATACCTATACAGTGAAGCACTGCAAATCTTTTGTAGGAGTATGACTAACATGATTAAGGTTAACTGGGTAATATTGTGATTATGGCGCACATAATTTCTCTTTCGTGATTTGACCAGCATTATATTTAAATTCATTTATTTATTCCTTCATCAAACCAGTCATTTATAGTTCAGTGGAGATTTATTGACTTTATACTATGTGCAGAACAAAATGCTAGGCTTTGGGGATATAGTAAGACCTATTTCCTTCTCTCTTGGAGATTGTATTATAGGAGGAAAGACAAGACATTAAATAAATAACTTCGATAATTTTAAATTCTCAGTTGTGACAAGTTGTTACGAATCCGTGAGAAATTTGACCTCACCTAGACCAAAAGAGAAAGTAGCATTTAAGGTGTGATCTGAAAGGTAAGAGTGTGTACACAGGGAAGCAGCATTCCAGGCAGAGGGAGCAGCAAGTGTGATGCTCTGAGCTGGGAATGAGTATGGCAAGTTCAAGAAGTAGCTGGAGTGTAGAGAGGTAAGGCCCTTCTACAGAACATCTCAAGGTGAGATGGGATTGGAACAGACTCTGCAGGACTTAAACTGTATACGTATTGACAATGCTGGCTGTTCTCCTACGATCAGTGAGAAGCATTTGTGGATTTTAAGCAAAGGATGAGTATGATTAAATTTGTCTTTTTAAAACACTCTGGCACTGGTTTTGGAGGTAGATTAAAGTAGAAGTGCACTAGGTAAAGGGCAAATTTAGTTTGGACTTGTTTGAAAGAAGTGTTCATTTAGGGACGCCTGGGTGGCTCAGCGGTTTGGCACCTGCCCTACCGCCCTGGAGTCTCGGGATTGCGTCCCACATCGGACTCCCTGCATGGAGCCTGCTTCTCCCTCTGCCTGTGTCTCTGCCTCTCTCTCTTTCATGAATAAAAAAAAAAAAAAGAAGAAGAAGAAGTGTTCATTTAGAAGTAGAATCAGCAGTGTTTGGTGATTGCATGGACATGGAGACAGAGTAGCAGGGTTCAAAAATAATTCCTCTACAGTTAGCTATATCATTAAAAAGCCCACATAGGTTTTGTTTCACAGCAATACTCTACTGTTTCCTGTTGCTTGTTTTTTTGTTTTTTTTAACTGTGTGTATTGCTTGTTTATAAAATTAATTTTATCATGGAAGATTTCAAGCATGTGAAAAAGTAAACAGATTAATGTAATAGACCTATGTACCTAATGTCCAGTACAACAGTGATCTACTAATGACCAGTCTTGTTTCACCCAAACCCTCACCCTTCCCCCTTTCTCCTATTTTATGTTGAATTAAATCCCAGATACTTTTTCATTTCGTTTGTAAATATTACAGTGTGAAGCTCTTTAACTCTTTTTAAAAAAATGACCACAATATCACCACACATACAAATATAAAAATTCTTTAGTTTATCTTCAGATATCCAGTCATTGTTCAAATTTCCAACTGTCTAATAATTTTTTTAAATTTAGAGTTTGTATGAATCAAAGATCCAAATAAAGTTCACACATTGAGATTGGTTGATTTGACTCGTAAGTCTTTTAATCTGAAGAGTTTTCTTCCACTTCTCCCCCACCCCTTGAAGCTTATTTATCAAAGAAATTGGTCATTTGACCTATAGTTTTACACCTATGGATTTTGCTGACTGTATCCTCATAATGTCATTTAGTATGTTTTCCTGCCCTCTCTATTTCCTGTATATTGATAGATGAATCTAGAGAGGCTTTATTAGACTCATGTTTGTCTCTTTTTTTGGTCAAGATAGTATAGATCACCTAGTTGTGTTTACTTTTGTATTTATAGAGCAGTCTGTGATGTTCATTACCTAGATAGAATGTTGATCAGGTGTTGCAAAATGAACATAACATGCCTTCCTGATTAGCGGGAATATCTCTATAATGAGACACTTCCTCTATTATTTGATTCCCTAGGGGTTCAGTGTGTATTGGAAAGACATCAAATCTTTCTCTAACAGTTTTCAAAATAATTAGTTCATAAAAATCCTTCAATGGTGACCTGCTTTTTTCAATTAGATCTTTATTCTTTTCGAACAGTTGGAGGCTTACAGAGAAATTGATCAGAAAATACAGAGTTCTCGCATGTCTCTCTCTAGTCTACCATAGTTTCCCCAATTATTTACATCTTATATTAGTGTGGTACATCTCTTAAAATTGATGAACCGACACTGATACAGTACTATTAACTGAAGGTCCATAGTTTACATTAAGGTTCACTCTTCCTGTTGTACATTTTATGGGTTTTGACAAATGTATAATAACACATATACACCATTACAATAGTAATTGTAAACCATACACAATAGTTTCACTGCCCTAAAAATACCCTGTGCTTCACCTATTCATCCCGCACTCTTCCTCCTCCATCCCTCCAATCCCTGGCAAAACTGATACCTATTTTTTTTTTTAAGATTTTATTTATTTGAGACAGAGAGCATGAGCATGAGCAGGGAGAGGAGCAAGCAGGGGGAGAGGGAGAAGCAGGCTCCCCACTGAGCAGGGAGCTTGACCTGAGGCTCCATCCCAGGACCCTGAGATCATGACCTGAGCTGAAGGCAGACACTTAACTGACTGAGCCACCCAGTCACCCCAAACCGATATTTTTACTGTCACCATAGTTTTCCTTTTCTATGACATCATGTAGTTAGAATCATTTAGCCTTTTAAGATTGGCTTCACTTAATATGTTTTTAAGATTCCTCCATGTCTTTTTGTGGCTTGACAGCTCATTTCTTTTAGTGTTAAGTAATATTACAGTGTATGGATGTACCATACTTTATATATTCAGCCTTTGAAGGACATCTTGATTACTCCCAAGTTTTGGCAATTGTCAATAAAACTGCTACAAACATCTATGTGCAGATTTTTGAACACAAATTTCAGTTGTGCCAGTTTGTTTCACACCTTTGAACATATAAAAATTAACAAACCTTTATATTTTGGCCAATCTGATAGATGAAAAGTGTTATCTAGTTATTGTTTTAATGTATATTTCTTTAATTATGCGTGAGGTTGGACATCTTTTTATATTTATATTTTTATTTCTGAAAATGGCTCGTTCGTGTTTCTCTACCAGTTGCTTTTCCGTAGCAATACATACAACCTTTTAATGTAACAAGGAAATTGGAATTTTGTGTTATAATTTTGCAAATATTTTGCCTACCGTATTATTTGTATTTTGATCTTTCCATGCAGAAATTGAAAACATTTATAAATCAAATTTATACCTTTTTCTTTGGGTGCCTTCATGTTTTTTGTCTTACCTTTCCCACTCAGATTTTACAAAATTCTTCTTTTTTATTCTCATGTTTTAATGGTTTTACCTTTTTAAAAATAAACATTTTTAGAGCAGTTTTAGGCAAAATTAAGCAGGAGGTGCAGAGAATTTCCATATATATACACACATGCATGGCCTCCCCCATTATTGCTTTCCCCCACCAAAGTGGCACCAAAGTGGCACACTTGTTAAAATTGATAAACTTACATTGATGCATCATTATCACCTTTAAGTCTGCAGTCACTCTTGGTAGTATACATCCTGTAGGTTTGGACAAGTGTATAGTGACATGTTTTCATTGATACTTTATAGTATCATAAAGAGTAGTTTCACTGCCCTAAAAATCCTCTATGCTTTGCCTACTCATCCCTCTCTCCCCTCAACCTCTAGCAACCACTGATCTTTTTACTGTCTCCATAGTTCTTTCCTAGAATGTCCAATAGTTGGAATTATATAGTATGTAGCTTTTTTAGATTGGCTTCTGTCACTTAATAATGCACATTTAAGTTCCTCCATGTCTCTTCATGGCTTCATAGCTCATTTAGTTTTAGCTCTGAATAATGTTCCATTGTCTGAATGTACCACAGTTTATCCATTTGCCAGAAAAGGACATTTTTGGTTTCTTCCAAATTTTGGCAGTTATGAATAAAGCTGCTATAAACATCCATGTACAAGTGTTTGTATGGACATAAGTTTTCAATTCCTTTGGGTAAATACCAAGCACAATCACTGGGCTGCACAGTAAGTATTTTTAATTTTCTAGAAGCCATTCAACTGTCTTCCAAAATGGCTGTACCATTTTGCATTCCCTCCAGCCATGAATGAGAGTTCCTGTTCCTCTACATCCTCACCAGCACTTGGTGTTGTCCATGTTCTGGATTTTTACCATTCTGATAGGTGTGCAGTGGTCTCATCGTCATGACCTATTACTTTCTAATTAATTTTTTAAATTTTTTGATTATAAACATGCAGTTTTAAGAAATAATGTGATGAGATCTAGTTAATGTACTCTTTACTCATTTCATGCAATGTTAATATCTTTGAAAACTATAGTACAATATCACAAGTGAGATAAATATGTTGATATAAGATACAGAACATTAACAATACCACAAGGATCCCTCTTACAGCTACATCTACTTTCCTCCTGCTTTCACATCTCCTTAACCTCTACTAACCACCATTCTCTTCTCCATTTCTGTAATTTTATCATTTCAAGAATGCTCTATAAGCAGAATCATATAGTACATGATCTTTGGGGATAGTCTTCTTTCCCTGAAGCTCAATTCTCTGGAGCTTGAGCAAGGTGGTTAACAACCTCTGGGTCATTTCCAGGTTTTGGCTATTACAAAACTCCTATCAACATTCATTTACAAGTTTTTGGTAAACGTAACTTTTCATTTCTCTGGGATAAATGCCCCCAAGTGAAATTGCTGTGATGTATGGTAGTTACATATTCAGTATTATAAGAAACTGCCTACAATTTTCCAGAGTGGCTAGACCATATCCACTAGCAACATAAGAGTTTCTCTGATAGCTCCCCAGCATTTGGTGTCATCACTATTTAACACTTATTTTAAAGTGTACTATTTGATAGTTTTGGTGTATTTATAAAGTTTTACAATGATAATAACGATCTATTTCCAGAATATTTCAACATCCCCAAAAGAAAACTCCATATTTATTAGCAGTTCTTTCCCCATTCCTCTCTCTCCCAGCCCCTGGCAACTGTGTTCTGTTTCTGTAGATTTGCCTATTCGGGACACTTCATATGATGTAATCATACAATATGTGTTCTTTTGTGACTGGCTTCTTTCACTTAACAGTGTTTTCAAAGTTTATCCATATTCTAGCATGTATTCAAACCTCATTACTTATGGTTGAAGAATATTCCATATATGGATATATTGGATTTTGTTTTTGCATTTCTCAGTAGATAGACTTTGGGTTGTTTCCACTTTTTAGCTATTAGGAATAATGCTGCTACAGATGTACACATTTTTTTGTGTGCAAATAAGTTTTAAACTCTCTTGGTTGTATACCTAAGAGCAGAATTGTTGGATAGCTTTACATATAACTTTGGGAGACTGCCAAACTGTTTTTGAAAGGGACTTAACCATTTTTTACATTCCCCCCAGCAACATATGAGGATTTCAGTTTCTTCACATTCTCCCCAATACTTATCAATGTCTTTTTTTTTATTACAGCCACCCTTGTGGGAGTGAAGTGGTATCTCATTGTGGTTTTGACCTGTATTTGTCTGATGGCTAATGCTGTTGCACACCTTTTCATGTGTCTTTGCTATTTGTATATATTCTTTTTTTTTTTTAATTTATGATAGTCACACAGAGAGAGAGAGGGAGAGAGAGAGGCAGAGACATAGGCAGATGGAGAAGCAGGCTCCATGCACCGGGAGCCCGACTTGGGATTCGACCCCGGGTCTCCGGGATCGCGCCCTGGGCCAAAGGCAAGCGCTAAATTGCTGCGCCACCCAGGGATCCCTATTTGTATATATTCTTTGGAGAAAAGTCTATTCAGACCCTTTGCCATTATTAACTTGGGTTCTTTTTCTTTTTATTATTGAGTTGTAATTCCTTATATATTTTGGATACTGGTCCCTCATTAGATATACAATTTGAAAATATTTTCTCCCATTCTGTCAGTTGTCTTTTCACTTTCTTAATGGTATTGCCTTCAGCACAAAAGTTTCTAATTTCTTTTTATTTTATTTTATTTTTTTTTTTTATGACAGTCACAGAGAGAGAGAGAGAGAGGCAGAGACACAGGCAGAGGGAGAAGCAGGCTCCATGCATGCACCAGGAGCCTGACGTGGGATTCGATCCCGGGTCTCCAGGATTGCGCCCTGGGCCAAAGACCGGCGCTAAACCACTGCGCCACCCAGGGATCCCAAAAGTTTCTAATTTCAATATAGTCCAATGTATATTTCCTTTTGCTACTTGTGCTTTTGTGTCATATCTAAGAAACAGTTTCCAAATGCAAAGTCCCTTATCCAGTATGGCTAGCCTCCTCAAAAGAAGATTAAAAAGTCACATAAAGACTGAGACCCACAGAGAGAACACAGTGTGATGACAGAGACGCAGATTGGAAGCGCAAGGATCAATGGCCATCATGAAAAGCAAAGAAGAGGAAAGGCAAGATTCTGCCCAGAGTCTCAGAGAATGACCTTACTGACATCTTGATTCTTGAATGCTAGCCTCCAAAACCACGAGAAAAGTAAATTTCTGTTGTTTATTTTATTTTATATTTTTAAAGATGTTATTTATTTATTCATAAGAGACACACAAGAGAGAGGCAGAGACACAGGCAGAGGGAGAAGCAGGCTCCATGCAGGGAGCCCGATGTGGGACTCGATCCTGGGTCTCCAGGATCATGCCCAGGGCCGAAGGTGGCACTAAACCACTGAGCCACCCGTGCTGCCCAATTTCTGTTGTTTAAAGCCATCTAGTTTATGGTACTTTGTTATGACACTCCTAGGAAATTAGAATAGTCTTGGCATTTAATTCTTTCATATATATGGCTTAATTCCATATACTAGTATTATTAAGGACTTTTGCACCTATATTAGTGAACAATATTGATCCATAGCTTTCCATTTTTTGTCTAGTTTTGGCATCAGAGCAATATTAGCTTCATCAAATGTATTGGGCAGTGTTCCTCCTTCCATTTTCTGAAAAAGATTATGTAAATTGGTTTTATTTATTTTTTAAAACTCCCCCCCTTTTTTAAAGGTTTTATTTATTTATTAGAGAAACATACAGAGAGACAGACAGACAGGCAGACAGGCAGAGGGAGAAGCTAGCTCCATGCAGGGAGACCCACTCGATCCCGGGTCTCCAGGATCAGGCCCTGGGCTGAAGGTGACTCTAAACAACTAAGCCACTGGGGCTGCCCTGTAAATTGGTTTTAATTCTTCTTTGAGTATTTGGTAGAATTCTGAAGTGTACCCTCAGTTTTCCCTTTCTTAAAATATCTTCATTTTCCCCTCATTCCTGACAGATATTTTTTGCCAGATAGAGGTTTTGGGGTTGATAGTTCTTTCTTTTCATCCCTTTAAAACTGTTGCACTAATTCCTTCCTGCCTCCATGATTTTTGGTGAGAAACCCATTGTCATTTGCCTTGTTTTTCTTATTGGTAAAATGTCATTTTTCTCTCACTGCCTTCAAACGTTTTTCTGTTTTTCTTTGGCATTAAATTTCAGATATTTTTTAAAAGATTTTATTTATTTATTCATGACAGACACACACACACAGAGAGAGAGAGAGAGGGAGAGAGAGGCAGAGACACAGGCAGAGGGAGAAGCAGGCTCCATGCAGGGAGCCTGATGTGGGACTCGATCCCTGGTCTCCAGGATCGTGCCCTGGGCCAAAGGCAGGCGCTAAACCGCTGAGCTACCCAGGGATCCCCAAATTTCAGATATTTAACTATATGTCTTGGTGTAGATTATTTTATATTTATCCTATTTGGTATTTGTTCAGCTTCTTAAGCCTATAGGTTTAGAGTTTTCGCCAAATTTGGAAAATTTTTGTCCATTATTTCTTTGAGCACTTTGCAACCTCACCTTCTTCTTTCTTTCTGGGATTCCAATCACATGAACACTAAATCTTTCATTATAGTCACGTGGATCCTGGGCATCTGTTCATTTTTTTTCAGTCCACTTTCTTTTTATTGTTCAGATTGAGTAATTTCTATTATTCTGTTTTCAAGTTTACTTATTATTTCCTCTGTTTCCTCCATTGTTCTGTTGAGCCCATCCACTGAGCTTTTTGTTTCATTTTGTTTTATTTTTCAGTTCTAAAATTTCCACTTGGTACTTCTTTATATCTTATAGTTCTTTACTAAGACACTATTTCTT